CTGACATGTGGGTGCTTTTCCTCCGAAACCTCTCACTGGGACCTCGAGAGAGAATGCCAGAGGAAGGTGAGACCTCTGCCAAGCCTCTAGACCCTCAGTCAACTCATCATTGCTGCACGTGTCTGATTAGTACATGCTAACTACACACCACTCAAATGTGTGCTCGCACTAGGGCTGCAACAGTTGCTTTGATAATCAATGAATTTAAAGATTATTACAACGATTAATAGAATTGCCTATTATTTCACAGATCAATCAGTAGGCTTTGATAGATTATTCACCATTTGCAATTCATTACAATATTGAGTCATACATATTCTATACATATTCATATACATATAGAGCTGCTTTATAGCAGAAAAACAAGTTGTAATTCTGACACTGACACTGTTTTTCTTTTTCATGTTAAATACTGCAGAGCTGCTTGCTTTAAAGCAATCCATTGTATAAAGCACTATATAGATAAACGTGACGTGACTTTACTTTAGTGCCGACTGTAGAGCTGTGCAAACATATCCACATCACTAAGATCAGATGCTTTCTAAACTGCTGTTTTCTCACTGCTGTCATGTTTGTTGTGTGTTTATTTTGTCAAAGAGAGGAAAGCGCGCAGCATATATTTGCATATTCATCTAAATGTCACTCTCAGCAGCACAGGTGCATTTTTTATTGTCGAAGTTGTCGATAATGCCATCTAATGGTTTCAGCCCTACATCGTACGTAGCTAAACTATGAAACGATAATCACCCGGCAGGTGATACAATGGGCAAATTAATCCCAAAGATTTACACTCAAGGACTTCGTTGTCACTAAAGCCCAAAGCATACTTATGCAGCATATGCCTTTCACATAGCCTTCCAAAGTATCGTCTTTATCCAGTGTCTGTGCTATTTCTCTCCAGAAGACAGAAACAATACGAAATGTATCACTTACATGTATCTTTATATTCTTTTAAACAAGAGTTTTGTGAATATCTGAACCCCCTGACACAAATGTGGTTGTCTATTGCTGTTTCATTCTCCACTAGTTTGTTGCTAGGTTGTTCCTTTATCATCCGTTTCTGTTTTGACTGCAAAACAACACTTAGCATCAGTGCTACCACCATGTGGAACAACCAATCAATGCAAAACAAAATCAATGTGCATACACAGAAAGCACGGGTAGAAAAATCAGTCGTTGCTTCGTGGAAGCATTCATTAGACAGTGGCCGGCTAGCAGTCTTTGTTATGATTCTCTTTCTCCAGCAACTCTCCAGTTATTTACAGCCATTGGGATTACACACAATGTTCTCATTAATATTTTATTAGTTCACTTATAGTCACAGCTGAGGAGGAGGAATACACTGGAACCAAGAGGACACTGGCAGAAATGGCTGTTTATTACCAGTCACTGAGGAGGCATAACTAGTTAATGACTTAAGCAAGAAACATAAATGATAAATGAGCCCATCTCATGAGGACGTCTGAAGGTGGTCTTATTTCATAGGCTTATGCAATCACTATCAAAAAACACAAGAAACAAAATTCAAAGCGAGAATAAAAATACCACTGCAACACAACCATGAATTACTGTTGTAAGAATGAGCAGGTTTACAAAGTCTGTGTTGATTGTTTTTTTCTCTAAATGAAATGGCTTTCAGACCACTTACGGTAAGCAGATGTGCTGTTTTGCATGGGATAGTCCTGTATTTTCCAGGAAACACAGGACATCTGGCTACCCTAAAAGCTGCATGGCCTAAAGCTTTTTGTAGAGCCAGATAAATGAGGTTTATCTGACTCTTGCTCTATGCAAATCTGTGACACCCTTAAATATCTAAACCATTTACCCTTTGTAAGACCCACTCCACTCTCTGTTTTTCAACTGATTTATTTGTTCAAATGTTTAAATCCATAATTTTTTACAGCACAAAACATATCCATAAACTCATTTAAAAATCTGTCAGGGTCACAGTTGAAGAATTGCAGACTTGAGTTGGTCTTGGGGTCAGAATATTTCCAAAACTACCATCAGACGCCACCTACATAACCACAAATTGTTTGGGAGGGTTACTAAGAAAAAAGCTTTTGCTATCATCAAATAACAAACTCACGTGCCTGCTGTTTGCCAAACACTACTGGAGCTTTTAGTAGAGCTGGTTTCTGTAGTGAAATGAGACCAAAACAGTGAAATGCGTCAAAAACTAGGGATGGATTTGGCACTGACAGAAGTTCTGGCTGATAAAATGTAGCTCATCTCTCCTGGCAAGTGTACTGATGGATGTCGGGCATATTTTTCATTCAAAGGCCCCTAGACCGCTCGTTAGGAGAAACAATATCATAAACTACTAGTTCATGTTAAATCAACAGCTGACTGACTCTGAAAGCCTAAACTGGTTGTGGTTGAATCTTTTAGCAGAACAAATATTCAACCACACCTTTAAATCACTCAGATCACAAAAACTCGAAATAAACACAAAATGGTCCACTGACTAGAGAATCAAGTTTTCGCCAAGCTCATCCCAGTCCGTCAACTCAAATACCACAGAAACAAAGGGTGGCAATATTAGTGTGTGATTGTTTGCTTGAGTTACACAGGAACAGAAAGAAATGTAACTCCCCCCACTGGCTGAAGTGCAGTTAATATGTGCTGTAGGTACTGAATACACACATGCACTGCATGAACATAAAACTGATGGCTAAGAAAGCACCTGACAAAGCATGACAGATGCAACGCCTGAAACAAACATGAAAACACTCACCAATATCTCATACTGCGACAAAACAATTTTTCAAAAATATAAATTTCTGTCAGGACCACTATCGTCAAAGATGATTGACAATTAGCATACAGTTTGGATTGGCAGTATGGTTCTGTTCTGGGCAAGAACTCCCTGCGTATCCATGCAGCCTAGCATGGATGAGAGCAGGGAGAGCAGCGATAACCCCCACCCCCCCAGGCTAAACAGAACAGAACAACATAAATGTATTGCAGATATCGTTAAAGTTCAATAACGTTATGCACACATTTTAGAATTAGCCTGATTCAAAGGAGAATCAGAAGGCTGAATCCTGACTGACAGAGGAGGAGCTGGGGATGGAGGAGGGTAATTAGCTATTGAACAAAGCGAAAACTGATGATAATACGGAGGGACCTTATATATGAATGCTTAGATAGGTGTCTTATTCCCATAGGTTGATGGGGATCAGCTGAGAGTCAGCTGATGCGAGCATGACTAGCGTGACTGTCAGAACTAACGCTACGCTAGATTTTGTGTTGCATGAAAACCTGAGGGTTATTTAATAACAACTGAATTTTGTATTCTTTGTCATATTAAGTTAAGGGGTACTTCTTTGTTAAAGTTATTCAAATTAAATGTATAACTACACTACATGGTCATGAAGAGTTTGTTTTCTCAATTTGTTTTTATAGCACAAGTCATTCACTGACCATCTTTAAAACTAGTTCAATCATGACAACTCTCAGAAGATTTTAACATGGTGATGGATATGACAATGTTAATGTATTTGGTCTTGGCGGAACAGATCTGCTACGCTACTGCTGAATTACTGCTGCTGTAGATTATTGCTGCTGCTGCAAGCAAGTACAGGAACTGGCTACTGCCAATGCATTCAGCGATACAGTGCTGTGAGTATTTAAGACATACTGCTGCTGCACAAATAGCATATAAAATAACCCATAGCAGCTCTATACAGGTGGAGCTGGGGAAGGTGGAGGGTTTCAGAGAAACTCTGAAAGTGCACTGCAGGAATCTCTAGTGAATGCTAGCCAGCCACATAAATGCAAGGCAGTAAGCTCACTGGCTGCATATGCAGCATGAACCAATCAGCTTGTGCCAAGTCGTTTAACTCTCCGAATATCATCGGTTATGTTAACAACCCCATCGCCTGCAACATCTAGAGTTTCATGACTGAACTATATATTTGTCCTCAATCTGTGCATCGCATCAGAAATTTGGTCACAGGTCTGTTCTGATTGCAGACAGCAGTGGAAAAACAATGCTAAAAGCACATAATAAAAGGCAACTAACCATATAGTAATGCATTGGCAGGATAGGAAAATACATTTTTGAAAATTTAAAAGGGACAAAATAATTCCCATACCTTTTTGGCATTTTTGTTTACCATATCTTTTTGGCATTTTTGTTTACTTTTGTATGATAAACAATGTTGCTTCTTTATTGTGTCAGCACTCAGTGTCAAATATGTGTGCATGAAACTTTACTCCACATTCACAGCATCAGCATGACAGGACTCACTTGGCAAGCTTCATTTCAATCTGCTGGCGGATCTCCTGGCGTTCCTGATCACTGCGCACAGGGAAGATGTTCCTGTCCTCCAGCTCCTGTTTACTGGGTCTGTTACACAGCTTCACTGCCAGAAGCTCTTTTCTTATTCGTCGTGGAAGTGTACCTGCACAGACCCAAACATATGTTCATATGATCATTTATGAGGGTAAAATGGACCAACAAGGGCCAGGCATGTTCATATATACTGTATATTCAATATGCTGTGTATATATACGTATATATATATATATATATATATATATATGCACTGCAGGAATCTCTAGTGAATGCTAGCCAGCCACATAAATGCAAGGCAGTAAGCTCACTGGCTGCATATGCAGCATGAACCAATCAGCTTGTGCCAAGTCGTTTAACTCTCCGAATATCATCGGTTATGTTAACAACCCCATCGCCTGCAACATCTAGAGTTTCATGACTGAACTATATATTTGTCCTCAATCTGTGCATCGCATCAGAAATTTGGTCACAGGTCTGTTCTGATTGCAGACAGCAGTGGAAAAACAATGCTAAAAGCACATAATAAAAGGCAACTAACCATATAGTAATGCATTGGCAGGATAGGAAAATACATTTTTGAAAATTTAAAAGGGACAAAATAATTCCCATACCTTTTTGGCATTTTTGTTTACCATATCTTTTTGGCATTTTTGTTTACTTTTGTATGATAAACAATGTTGCTTCTTTATTGTGTCAGCACTCAGTGTCAAATATGTGTGCATGAAACTTTACTCCACATTCACAGCATCAGCATGACAGGACTCACTTGGCAAGCTTCATTTCAATCTGCTGGCGGATCTCCTGGCGTTCCTGATCACTGCGCACAGGGAAGATGTTCCTGTCCTCAAGCTCCTGTTTACTGGGTCTGTTACACAGCTTCACTGCCAGAAGCTCTTTTCTTATTCGTCGTGGAAGTGTACCTGCACAGACCCAAATGCACGTACACATGGTCATTAATGATGGTGAAATGGACCAACAAGGTTTACTATAGGCACGTTCATGACCCAGAGGCATGAACAGGTTTCATAACGTCCATTCTATATGATTTGATGTATATGAGTCTGACTGTCAGCCTTCGTGAGAATTTAGTAGCATTTCCCCTATGACCAATAATTTTGCTCCAAATACAGTTTTTTCAAAAGTACTTGTTCATCAAGGAGACAACGATGTCAGTGAAGAGCTGGAGATGAAATATAAGGTGTGTGAAGTAAACAAAGAGAAATCAGATATCACTTGTGAATAGAATATTTTTGTGATTTCCCTTATCAAATATTTACAAAAGTCTCAAGTTCGCTGTTTGTCTCGCTCTCTGGCCCACATGTAATGACAGCAGACTGCATTAGAAGTAGGGCACCAGATGTTGCTGACAAATGAAGTGTAGAAGCAGAAAAGCCTCTTCATTTCTGGCACGAGGAGTATTCTGAATAGAATAAAATGCCCAAGAACTTCTACATTGTTAACAGGTACTCAGAGACCAATTTACCAAAAAAAAAAAACATTTGGATTTTTTAAAGAAAATAGTGCTTTTTTGTTTAAATGTCACTGACACTGAACCTGGGTGGTTGCCAGGATGTTACCACAGAGTGAAAATATAAACAATTATATTAATTAAAAATACATAAAAATGTAAATAAATAAATAAACAAAAGCAGTAAAATGTAAAATATGATAATATAATATTTTAAAAGATAAAATATTAACTAAATTAAAATATACTCAAATATATTAATAAATATTATAATATAATATAAATAATGCTCAAATAACACCGATCCCAAATCTCAGTTCAAATCTAAGTGTAAGCAATAATGATAGTCTGTAATTTTTAGAATTTACATTTTTATTTTATTAACAGACACTTTGCAAATATTGTTAACTAGCTAATCTAAAATGTGATTCTTATTTAACACCGATGCCCACAGAAACCGACCAGAGATGACGGACTCGTTCCAGCTGTCTTGGTCGCTGTAGAATTCATCCAGACGCATGTTCTCCTTGTTCTCTTCGGCCTCTTTTTTGTTCTCCACCTCTGCGCTCGGCTCAGTGCTGGCGGTGCGGGACTGCCGTCCGTCCGAGCGCCGTCTGGGGGAACTACGGATCTCCTTACCATGGAAACTATGCATAAAAATAAAAAGAATGTTGAAAACTGGATGATAATGCATCTGAACTCCCTGACTGTGCTTGGTTTCCAATCCTGTCTCTCCTGAGGGCTAAATACAGTTAAACGTACCATGTTTATACTTGAAAAGTCACACTATAGGAATAGTTCACCAATAAATGTGATGTGTGAGAACCCAACCGGTTAGTAGTCAATCATGTCAAACTTGGTGTGATGTGTTTTTATAATGGCCATCATTAAATGACCACATGCATAAATTACAGTGAAAAAAAATCTCATGGAAGATTTTCAGTGCGTAATGACACATACTGTACATTACTGTACGGGGTCAGAAAGTTTTGTTGTCGTTGTTGAAGAACATTAATACTTTTATTCAGCAAAGATGCATTAAATCGATCAAAAGTGACAGTGAAGACATTCGTAATGTTACAAAGGATTTTTAGTTTAAATAAATGCTGTTCTTTTGAACTTTCTATTCATCTGTGAATCCTGAAAAAAATTATGTGTGTCACCGTTTCCACAAAAATATTGAGCAGCACAACTGTTTTCAACATGGATAATAATCAGAAATGTTTCTTCAAATCTGCATATTATACTGATTTCTGAAGATCATGTGACACTGAAGACTGGAGTAATGATGCTGAAAATACAGCTTTTCAGATATTCACATAGAAAGCAGCTGTTTTAAGTTGTAATAATATTTCTGTATTTTTGGATCAAATAAATGCATTTTACAATCTTTGAACGGTAGTGTAACTATCGTGTGACTGCACAATTCAAACAAACTACTTTTATATGGTCCTTTTAGTAAATGATGACAGAATTTGGATAAATTATGCCTGAGAGACCGTCCCACTTGAGCGTCTCACCTGCCCTGCCGATGTTTGGTGGCCAGTGCACGGTGCAGCTCCTCGATGATGCAGCTAGGGGGCAGCTGAGGGTGCATCAGACCTAAGTGAGGGGAGCCGGTGGGGGTGGAAAACCTGCCCCTCAGGGCGTCTTTGGGCAGGGCGAAGTTCCTGGGCAGCGTAGCTGGAGCGGAACGGCTCTGATTAGAGTGGGGACCTAATGGACAAGAACAAAAAAAAATAAAAAATAACAATGATCGTACTCCTGTGACTAATTTAGTTTCATTCTTTAAAACAAGCATTCCTCTGGGCATAGAAAACTATTATATAGCCTATGCTTTTGATATGCATTATGCATTATTTATGCATTGACTGTACTCTCAATGATACTGACTGTCCAGACTGCCCAGTCGAGAAAGCAGCTTCACAGGAAGGTTGGCTGGAGGAGTGTGGACTTCTCTGAGTGGTGGCTCCTCTTTTCTCTCCTCAGGGGCCTCAGCGGGCCCCACACTGGCCCCTCTGCTCGAGGCATCTACACGGGGCTTCTCCTCATCTTCACTTTGCTCAAGTTCCCCTTCTGTTTCTGTCATCTCTGCGGCATCTCGCTCTGAGAAGAGATGGGGCCAGAAAAGAGTGTTCTGTAATCTCTGCCGCCACCTAGTGCTAATTCAGCGCTGCTCATTCGCTCAAGACTACTGTACAGATGTGTCCATTTTCATCATCTGAATGAGTCATCACTTCTTACAAAATCATATAAAAAGACAAAGTGAAAATGTGCATAGCTTGCATAAAAAAATCAATTCTACATATATTAATACACTGTAAAAAAAATAATTTTTCAAATATGTAAAATGAAAAAAATAAAGATTATTTATGCATGTCTTGAAAATATTGTTACAGTCTTTAGTTCATGTGTTATTGCCATTTATTTGTAATTGTTTGTGAAATTTACTAGCAGTGAAAACTGTTAATACACATCATGTGCATCCCTTCCTAAAACAGAATATTCAACAAAAAAGAAAGAAAGAAAGAAAGAAATCAGATGGAAACTGTTTTTATCCATGAGCTTGCAGTGAATTTTTTGCACTGAAAAAAATTGGTGTATGATTTACTTTGAAACAATTTTCACTCTGAAATTGCTAATAAATTTAACTAACTTCACAAAGAAACAGCAAGTGGCACATTGAATTAAAGTTGACATTTTGAAGTAGAAAGACTGAAACAGTTTTCTTGTAAAACATACTCCAATAATCTTTATTTACAACATGGTCAAGGTCAAGTTCTCCCACCGGAGCATTCAATTACAACAGCATTATTGTTGAAACATAGCAACAGTAACATTACAATGACTTTAACTATTAACTATTATGAGTACAAGGACAAAGATTGTTCCCATTTGACTAATGGAAAACCTAATTTCAGGAATGTGTGTTCATAAAGTTAATAGTGTCAATTATCATTTTGCAGAAGGCCATGTGTGCACAGATCCTGACCTGAGGACAGATTGTCCTCATCAGACCCGAGATCGTCTGTGTTGCTGGCCAGCGGCGCCATGGGCTCGTCCTCTCGCTCCTCTCCGTCGGACTCGTCCAGCATGGGGCTTCCTGGCTCGTCTGTATTCCTGCCACACACAAGGCCAGACTCTGCAAGCATGGGAAAAACGCAGCAATCTCAACGGCTATCATCACATTCTCATAATATCCTCATCACTCTGCTGGTGGTCAAACAGGACAAGGTGATCGTGCTACCGTTACGCGTGTATGCTGCAGGTGAACAGCCGCTAATAGCGGGGAGCATTTGGCACTGCTGAAAGAGTGATGTGGCAGTTTCTCACCCATGCCAGCCTCTGCCAGGTCCTTCCTGACAAGATCGTCACGATTCTGCCTGGTGGGCACTTTCCTCTCCAGCCCTGCAGATGCCATCAGATAAAGTTAAATACAGATCTCGCTGAACACAAACACTAACACTACAGTCCTTCAGTCTCCACAATCAAGTGTTGTGCGAAAGATACTAATAATCATTTATGGAAGTTAGGGCTGTCAAAATTCATTCTTAAGTGCATGAGATAAATTAAAAATGTTTAATAATTATAATTTATTTTGAGCAAAATGATTTACTTTGATATAAAGTAACAACTAAAGACCGATGTCACAGACATTTTTATAATACATTATAAATTTTTCTAGTTATGTAAAGCTCTAAAACATTTTATTGTGTAGAAACTGCTATTTGTGATTAAATGATAATAATAATAATAATAATAATAATATATTTTTTAAACCCTGTAATCACAATTGACAAGAAAAGTCACTATTCATTGGTAATAAAACATGTCATTGTACAGCGTCCCGCACATGACATGGAAGAAAAAATAAATAAATTGCGCGCACGATTTACTATTTAGTTCCCTCGATTTGCTAAATCGTGCACACAATTACTATTTCGTTCTCTCGATTTACTATTTCGTTCCCTCGATTTATAAATTGTGCGCAAAATTTACTAATTCCTTCTCTCGATTTATAAATCGTGTGCACGATTTAGCAAATCGAGGGAACGAAATAGTAATCGTGTGCACGATTTAGCAAATCGAGGGAACGAAATAGTAATCGTGTGCACGATTTAGCAAATCGAGGGAACTAAATAGTAATCGTGTGTACGATTTAGCAAATCGAGGGAACAAAATAGTAATCGTGTGCACGATTTAGCAACTCGAGGGAACGAAATAGTAATCGTGTGCACAATTTAGCAAATCGAGGGAATGAAATACTAATCGTGCACAATTTAGCAAATCGAGGGAATGAAATACTAATCGTGCACAATTTAGCAAATCGAGGGAATGAAATACTAATCGTGCACAATTTAGCAAATCGAGGGAATGAAATACTAATCGTGCACAATTTAGCAAATCGAGGGAATGAAATACTAATCGTGCACAATTTAGCAAATCGAGGGAATGAAATACTAATCGTGCACAATTTAGCAAATCGAGGGAATGAAATACTAATCGTGCACAATTTAGCAAATCGAGGGAACGAAATAGTAATCGTGTGCACGATTTAGCAAATCAAGGGAATGAAATAGTAATCATTGGCACAATTTAGCAAATCGAGGGAATGAAATACTAATCGTTTGCACAATTTAGCAAATCGAGGGAATGAAATACTAATCGTGCACAATTTAGCAAATCGAGGGAATGAAATACTAATCGTGCACAATTTAGCAAATCGAGGGAATGAAATACTAATCGTGCACAATTTAGCAAATCGAGGGAATGAAATACTAATCGTGCACAATTTAGCAAATCGAGGGAATGAAATACTAATCGTGCACAATTTAGCAAATCGAGGGAATGAAATACTAATCGTGCACAATTTAGCAAATCGAGGGAATGAAATACTAATCGTGCACAATTTAGCAAATCGAGGGAATGAAATACTAATCGTGCACAATTTAGCAAATCGAGGGAATGAAATACTAATCGTGCACAATTTAGCAAATCGAGGGAATGAAATACTAATCGTGCACAATTTAGCAAATCGAGGGAATGAAATACTAATCGTGCACAATTTAGCAAATCGAGGGAATGAAATACTAATCGTGCACAATTTAGCAAATCGAGGGAATGAAATACTAATCGTGCACAATTTAGCAAATCGAGGGAATGAAATACTAATCGTGCACAATTTAGCAAATCGAGGGAATGAAATACTAATCGTGCACAATTTAGCAAATCGAGGGAATGAAATACTAATCGTGCACAATTTAGCAAATCGAGGGAACGAAATAGCAATCATGTGCACAATTTAACAAATCGAGGGAACGAAGTAGTAATCATGTGCCCAATTTAGCAAATCGAGGTAACAAAATAGTAACCGTTTGTACGATTTAGCAAATCTAGGGAACGAAATACTAATCGTGTGCACGATTTAGCAAATCGAGGGAACAAAATAGTAATCGTGTGCACAATTTAACAAATCGAGGGAACGAAGTAGTAATCATGTGCCCAATTCATTTTTCTTTTTCCTCCACTTCCAGGGTTTGAAGATGCGTCCCAGGCTGGCCAGTTTACTGTTGCGGCGGATAGGGGGAGTTCGGACCCCTGACACAAGACAACCAGAGTGAAGTGCTCTGTGCTGATCCATTACATCTACAACAAAAACACAGACAAGCAAAAGCATTCTCAGAGAAGGCTACTACTAAACCTAAAGCCTAACTGTCCACTCCTGATATTAATATCCAGTTACATCCAGTCCGATTTCAGATTCTGAAAGCTCAGAACCCTTAATGTTGCGATGTGCATGACATGTATTCCAAACAAAACTTCAGTGCATACGCAGTTGCCGCCTTTAGAGCCTGTGAAAGCCACTGCGCTGATGACAAATCCTGGTACACATGTCAGAAGAACTTATTTTTAGTAATAATTAGTAAATATTCAGTCTCTTCCACTATCCAGTTCAAAAGATGTGAGATGAAAACAAACGTTTGCACTTTCGTAAGACGTACACTGCATGTAAACAATCTGATTTGAGCGTTTATACGCTTCATTTTGTATCCTATTGACTGGATTATTTCAGGTCTACACCACCTTTTCCAATCCATTCAAAACTGAATTTATGGTAACACTTTAGATCAGGGAACACATATTCACTATTAACTTAGAGTTTTCCCTGAACAAACTCCTAATTTGATGCTTATTAATAGTTAGCAAGGCAAGTTTAGATGTGGGGTGGATTAAGGGATCTAAAATACGATCATGTAGAATAAGGTATTAATATGTGCTGATAAACAGCCAATATGCTAGTAATATGCATGCTAATAATGAAATAAAGTGTTACCAAATTCATTCGTTGAGGTGTTTGCGTGAAGGCTTTTCCATTCTATTGATCCATTTGGGTGAATGTGAACATAGCTACTGACAGCATTTTGGATCCCGTTTACACCAGTATTTAGTGTTTCCCACTTGACATCAGACCACCTGAGACGGATGTTAATAACAGCTGCAAAAGGGGCCAGTAAGAGTTAATGATATTCTGTGGGGAGTGAATGGTGTCAACAAGGCCTGTGTCGAATCTCAGGACACATGGGTGAGCATTTGCTGTGCCAACACGATTTGTTTACCAATGTGGAACAGCATATGGGTCATCTCCCTTAAGGCAAAACATTAGTTTTAATTCAAAATCTAAAGAAACACATGAAAAACTGACCAGAAATGGATCTGTTAGTCTGAAATCTGAAAGTTCTATTGCTATTTACTCAACCTCATGTCATTTGAAACCTGAATTATGTTCTTCCTTCCAAAGAACACGAAAAGAGAAATTTTGAAGAATGTTTATGCTGCTCTTTTCCATTGAATTAAAATAAAAAACGACTGAAACAAGATGAAAAACACCCCAAAAAAGTTGTTCATTATGTTCCAAGTCTTCTGAAAACATACAATAGCACTGTAAGGAAAAAACTGACAATACTTTCAGTTTTTTCCTTACTCTCGTTTGTGTTTGCACATTTTCAAACATGCTATGTGAAAACAAATGGAACCAGGCTTGACGCTAATTTTTCCAAATGCGATTGGTTTCTTACTAGTCACATGACTGACCATGATATGGCAAGTTCAGTGAATAATGATGTACAGAAAGTTAGTTTACAGGTTGCATGGATTACTTTTGTTTTTTGAAAGCTCTTAGTCACTTTATGCTCAATCAGATGCAGAAGAGCTCACATTGGCACATGCCACTGTATTACTCAAATGAAGAGCCACCAGTTTCTTTAAATTTCTGGTGAATCCTCTTCTATGACAAACTGCAGTGGACACAGAGATGTGCATTATGTCTGTCTCACATGGTCTGCACAGACACCAACACACAAACAATTGACTGTTTTAAAGGGCAGTCCTGGATTACCCACGGAAATCATGTCACTCCTGCAGCTCAAAATGCTCCTCGGTTCACTGACAGCTGATGAACTTCAAATCCACACCAACTTCCATACATCAATCTAGCAGACAGGCTGCCACTGGATCAATCTGTCTCAAACCCCATCAAACACATGACTTGACTGCGTCCACAAGACCCTTTGAGTAAGAGTTACCGGGTCCACTGTAATGAGGCAGCGACAGGCCTCTGCAGCGCTGCTGGAGACTCAAACCCTGTGATGGAGCAGGAATAGAAGCATCTCTCCTACACATTCTGGCTGAGATGGAGAGTTGACACCTCAGGAAGAGTGCAGATGAACCGTGGGCAGCACTGAGAGCTTCTATCTCTGTCTGTTTCTTCCGTTTGTCACACCTAAAACCGCACAAAAATGAAACAACAACATCAACTAACACCTGTTAATATCAGAAGGAATAGTGACGGATGTAAACTAATTTATAATACATTTATATTATAACCAATCCTCTACAATCCTTTCTTTAGATAATATGTGTGCAAAACTCCTATCATTACACTAGATCAGGGGTGTTCAACCCTCATCCCCGATCCAACCAATCAGAGACTTATATGTATATAATATATATAAGTCTCTGATATTTTGAGGTGTGTTCCCCCATAGTACGATGCAACACTGGAAGAAAATAACTAGCAAGCCAGCTAAGAACTGGGTGGGCTTTCCAAACGTCAAAAAGAGCTTTATTGCCAAGTATGGTTACACACACAAGGAATTTGTCTGCTTTGAGTGCGGAAGAAATTACAGACATAGTGCAGACATACATTATAGTGCACAGTAGAGATTAAATATAAGACTAATACAGTCATGGCCAAAAGTTTTGGCAGTGACATAAATTTTGTGTTTTGCAAAGTTTGCTGCTTAAGCTGTTGTGGTGTTCATTCATATTGTTTCTAGATTATTGTGTAGAGTGATCAGATGCATTTGAAATAATTGCTAAAAGCTTCATTGGCCAAAAAATTAATTTTTCACACAAAAAAAA